AAGCGTTAATATCAATATAGTACAAAAATATAAATTTAAAATTAAGCTTGATTAAGCATATATTGCTTTTAATAATCGAAAATAAACTATTATTAATTTTTAAAAGTTATAATCTTCAAAGTTAATTACTTTGTATTGTTAATTATGACCGTTATAATCATTAAAATGTTCATTTTAAAAGACCCTAAAAATACGCGCTGTCACGAAGCGTAAATAGCATGAGGATATAAAAGTCCTGATTGCACTACCTACGTGAAAGAATCTCTTGGTGGGGAGGGAAAGAAGGATCTGACCTGCCAGCCAATTCTGGTGGGATTAATGATCCTTCCATCCGCCCCACTATTACCTAGCCTAGTACAGTTGTGGCCACACGTCTTGTGCGCCAGGTCATGTGATGCTGTGCACAGGCCACCCTGATGGGTTGACAGACTTCCAGGAGGTCAGAACGTCACACGCGCATATTTTATCATAAGGCGATTTTTTAAAGCTGACTTTTCGCTTAATCACGCTGTTTACATTTTGATTGAAAATGATCAAGAGAATTAAATCAATAGCTTTAATAATATAAAAAGCTTCTATTCATTTTATAGTACTTTTTTTATCGTTACTAAAACGTAAAACGTATACTTTTTACATAATCTTGTTTTTATTAAAACCTTAATTTTTAAACGTTATTTATATAAATGTAATTCATTTAATTAAGACTTTTACATTTAATCTTTTAAGCTTTAAAAGTTTAGAAATTGTGGGAACAGGCTTTAACGATCAATCATAATACACGAGTATGGGGTCAAGGTCATGATGTTGCTGATGGTTGGATTAGGAAGTCTAGCTGGACCTGCAGGTCTGGCTAAGTGACCTCACAATCCGGTATCTAATCTCTTATCTAAACATACATGTGGGTTCTGTATGGATGGTTTGACTGTGGAATCACATGGATCTAACAGAAATGTCTATTATCTATTATAATCAAACTAAAATACTTGCAACTATTGATTATAACAAGTTTTAATTGGTTTAAATTCGTTTAAATTAGCTTCAAAAATCTCGCTAGTATATTTCTCGCTTTGAATTTTTTTTAAATTAATCTTCTAAGTTTTTATTTCGCTATAGCCTTTATAAGAAATATTTGAAACCAATTATTTTCCTTTGAAGTTTATAATTATATTCATAATTTTCATTAACCGTTATTTATCAAATAATATAAACCTTAATATTATTAAAAAATTCTAAGCTCTTTTAGTATTATCATTATAACATTATAAAAAATCTAAGCGTTTGAAAAAATCATAACTTATTAATATTCTTATTTTTAAACTTTACCGTTATCGTCACCAATAAGTTGATTCGGTTTTTACATAGTTTAAAAAAACCCGCGCTTTAAAATATTCAAAATTACAAAATTAGCTTTTCAAAAACTAATAAAGCAATGACTTCAAATATTACTTTCTATTTAATAAAATTATTTATTAAAAAAGATTTAAACAAACAACCTTTCTAGTTAAATTAAATACTTACACTATATAATTTTTGAAATAATAATCAAGATTGATTAAAATATTATAAATTATATTATAACTCATAACTTTTGTTACACTTATACTTGTATAAATAAGAACACCTTTTTCTTAATATTATTAATACGACTTTAAATCAAGTCGTTTTTAAGGTTTATAATAAATACGTTTAAACTTATATCGTATAATGAATCTTTTCAAAAATCTTTTTTTAAATAAAAAGTATGATTAAAATAAGCCGTTAATTAACCGATCGGATTAAGTTATTAATTGCTGCTAAAAATAATCGTTTCCTTAATGAGAACTTTCCCCTATTTTCATGATAGTTTTTTTAAACGCTCTTGAAAAAAAAATAGGTTATAAATAAGGTTTCTATTTATCGTAGTAAAATAGATTCTAAACCATGTATTAAGGCTTAACATATCTTTAAAAAAATAAAACTATGTAAAAATCCACTTTTTATAAAATCTTATTCTAACCTTTTATAGAATTATTTAAGTTAATTTTCTGTTATTATTAATATAATTTCATTCCATATAGCCTTCTTTTTTTTACATTTAATATTTAAAGCATTCTTATATATATATTCGTGAATTAAAAGCCCTTTACATTCTGCAGCTATTTTTTCAGCGTTTATTTCTATTTAAATTAATAATATAACATCGTTCGTTATTTTTAAGCTTTTAAATTTTAAAAGCTTTAATATTTCAACTAATTCTACTTTTAAATTCGTTATAAAAATGCTTAACAAAAACGTTTCTACGACTGTTTTTTAATATCTTAAAAAATTTTCAATTTATTGAATTTATTGAATTATTTTATTTATTTTAAAACAAGAAATATAATAATAAGCTAAAGTTTAGAGTTTTTCAAGCCCGAATTAATATATTAACATATTATCCGCTATCATTTCAATAAATAATAAATAAAATCGCCGTTATTACATTTTAATATTATAGGCTTGTTTTAATAGAAGCGCTAATATATTTTACGGCTCGGTACGCACCTGGTTTTAAATTGAAATTATAATCACGTTGCTTTATATAAGAAAATTTATATTTCTTAACCTAAATTTAAAAAAAAAAAAAATTTTTTGGGAGATTTTCCTTTATTTTTTTAATCTTTCCTATCATTTTGAATCCGTCGGAATTTTTTTTTTAAAAGCATGTCTTTATATAAAACTTAAATCTTAAGGTTTTTTAAGAAAAGATTCTTATTAAACGTAAACTTAAATTTTTTTTAAACTTGTAACATTAACTCTGTAAACACTTTATGATTTTTTATTTAAACCCCGTTGATTAAAGCCATTGAAATTAAATTTATTTAAAAAAAGAGCCTTTAAAACTATTAAAGTTAAAATGAAAGCTTTTATTAACTTTAAGTTATTGATTTATATAACGTAGCTGACAAGCGAGTTGACATTACAAGCGAGTTGGCACTCGTCATGAACTCTCCAACTGCCATGTCAAATAACTTCATCACAACGCATTCAGTTCAATTCAATCAATCGGATTCCTCTTCCTCAGAGGTTTCTATCTCTATTGTACAAGTTCGCGCATTATGGCCAGTATTGCCGCAAACGCCACACCGTCGCCCATGCGCTGCTGCCCGCCTCGGACGACGATTATCTTCACCCATTTCCTGTTTTGCTAGCTCAGTACCATCCTTTGCAGCCTGAAGATCTACTGCATCTTTAACGGAAAGTACTCCTCCTTTCACTAGACGTTTGTTTTTTGTTCTCCGGCGTTTACTGAGTAAGTGATTGGCCTCTTCTAATTCGCGGACCCGGGAATCAACCAAAACGACCTTATGCATAAGACCGTATGTAGCCTTTAAAAACGAGCTCAACGCATCAACTATTGATGTAGGTGAGCTTCTCTGGTGGTTTCTGACTCAGTTTCGGATATAAACTGATTGGTTTACCGCTTTGTTAATGGTGATAGGCGTCTTCGAAGTCCAAGTAGTGGGTGGCAGATTGGGGTCTGGCGACGGTGTTCGTATGACAGCGACAGCATCCAGCTTTGAAATGACACTTTCTGGGTCAAAAGGAACAAGCCCAGTGGCACTGAAACCTGCTCGAATGTTTCCTGGCGTCATAGCAGCGTTGTGTGCTTCACAAAACGCTGCAAGGAAGTCCTCCTTCGAAACGTGGGTTATATGACGCCGGATGAGATCCTCAATCATGCGACCGTAAGCTCGTTTGAGCGGGCTAAAACAGCCGACATCTAGAGGCTGGAGCCTGTGTGACGAGTGGGCAGGCATACAAAGGGTGATAATGCCGTTGTTCTGACAATAATCCTCAAAAACCTGGGAATGGTGGCTTTCGTGACCATCTAGGATGAGGAGGCGTTTACTGGCAGTCATACGCGGTCTGGTATACTTGTCGAAATACTGAATCTATTCCAAATCAATCTCATTTGTGGTCCACCCGTTGTCGGACACGGCCACCTTCCAATCGCGTGGTAATATCGTGTCGCGATACCATGACGCGAGGTGGGTTTTGCCCTGTAGAATGATGAACGGCGGGACCACCCAACCATCAGCATTAACAGCAGAGATTGCTGTAGACCATTCCCTGTTGCCTTGCTGGGCTTGTCTAGGCCTGCCACGTCTTTCGGCGCTTATAACGACCATGCCGGACCCAATAATGCCCATCATAAACCCAGTCTCGTTGAAGTTGTAAATATCCGCGTCTTGGATACCATGTTTCGCGACTGCTGCTGCAACTTGGCGAAACCACGCGCAATATGCGTCTGGATCCTCGTTCAAGACCTTATCATTTATTATTACTTTTATTTATATAAACTCGCTGCTGTCTTCTTATTATTAAAGCTATTTTCTATCTGTTTTATCTAATAAAATCTTAATAACTTTAATTTTCTACAACTAATCAAAATATTATTATTACTCATATGCTGACCCGCCGTATGGACATCTCGGAGAGTCGTCCGGCATGCAGACCTCCTACAATCTTTATTCGTGTGATAAAATCCCGCAGAGGATGAAAACCCACACGCTACGGTCTAGTTCTGGCTTTGTTACGGCGCCGTCGCGGTTTGCTACAGTTATATGTCATGACCTTCACCGCCTTGACTAACCTGATAGGGCGCGCATCCCTTGGCCCCTGAGACCTCTTCCCCCTTGTGATATTCCCCCTCCCCCTCGTGATATTTCCCCTCCCCCTCGTGATATCCCTACTACCATATCCCCCCTCTTTCTCCATTCTATCCGGTACTGCTCTATATCCTCTGCGGTCCGGCTCTTTGGCGCCTATTGGGCCACCTCGCCACCGCTTAGCTTCCTTGCTAGTGAGAACATCCCCAGGAGCCCTAGTCTCAAAAACCACCGTATAAATTTCGGGGTCTCGTCCGGATCTGACAGCAAGCTCTTGAAGTCTCTCCTTGACCGCAATGTTCTCGCCCCGAGAGAGGCTTGCAGTCTGCCTCTTTAGGCCGAGTATAGAGGGCATCGAACCGTCACGTATTATGCTGTCTCCTTCTTGCCGCAGTCGCAACGTGGTGTAGCCTCTCCTGGCACTCTCCTCTGGAACAGGAAAGCCCTCAAGCCGATGGTCTCTGTCCGGACCTGGCATAGGGCAGACACCTCGTGTTTCCGCAGTCTGTAGTAATACTGCGGGACCGCCCCTACGAGCTCCTGTGGGAATTCTCCTTGAGCTGCCGGCAACCTCGCAGCAACTCCCGTCTGGCTGGCTCTTACGACGGCATCTATCCATCGACTCCTCCACGACCTCTCAAGTGCCTGCTCCGGGTGGTCTTGGCTCAGCCACTTTAGGATCGCCTCCTTCCGGTCCGTTGGGTTATCCTTCTGCGGGGACGCTATTGCGTGGGGCAACCGCCGAGGCCGACCTTTCCCCCGCCTGCCGCCTTGCACGGGTCTTCTTACGGCTTTCATTACCGCCAACCTTGCGTCTCTCGCCCTCTCTTCTACCTTTCTTGTTTCGGCAGTAACGTGTTTACCGGCCTCTCTGTACATTCGACCTTCAAACGCCGCCACCCTCATATCTAGGTATGCGTCCAGCGGGCGACAACTGGTCTCTGTCTCCAGCAAATGTCGCGGCATGGCTTTAAAAGCCCCTGCCACCACCCTTAAACACGCTGCTTGCGTAGTGAGCATCTTCTTCGCTAGCCCTCGGGCATGGTTGCCCTCCGATGGCGTATGCCACGCCGTTGCGCCAAAGGCGATGGCGCTTCGTACCACTTTGGTGTATACCTCCTGGGCTCGCGCCGCGCTACATCCCCACGTGGAGGCCGCTATCCTGGTGAGGCCGAAGATCTGACTAATCAAAATAAATAACGCTGTAAACGTTCGTAATAAAAATTAAGTTTTTTTTTTCTTATATAGCCGTAAAAGTATATATTACTTATATCTTGCTTTATAAACACTCTTTGTAAAGTAATCATGAACGAGCTTAAAAAGAGCTAATTTGTTTTAATTTAGAATAAAAGTCGCTCAACTATACGATAACACTTCTTAACCGCTTTTTTAATACGGTATTTTACCGCCCAGCGTACATAAATCGTGCCTTTTTATTAACTACGTAATATTTTTCCCATTTATAACTACGTAAATATTTTCAAAATTATATATACCATTAAAAGAACAAATATTATAGTATTAATAAAATGGTTTAATATTTAAACTATGGTCTTTTTTATTCGAAATAAAACTAAACGTTCAAAGAAAACGATCCGCTATAAACTTTTTTTTAAAAGCTCGTAAGGTTAAAAGAAATCACAATGTCAAGTTTAATTTTTAACGTTATTAAAAAAAATTATACCTGCCGTATATAAAGCGTACCTTTTTACTAACTTCGTACTTTTTCTTTCGACTTATATATAACTACGTAACTAGTTCAAAAACTGTATATGTAATTAAAAAGACATATTTTATACTAGCAACGAAATTGGTCAATGATTTTGAAACCAAATATATTATAAATTAAACGTTTAACCTTTTAAGAAAAATTATTATAATTTAAATTTAACCACGCTTTATTTTTTATCTTTATTAAAATATTTACAAGTAAACAATATTATATAAAGCTAACCACAGCGTATTTAAACGTTTAAAAAATAAAACCTCATCACTAGCATGTTCGAAAAATTTATTGTAACCTTATAAAATTAAATAAAAAGCTCTTATAAAGTAAAATAAAAGGCCGTATCCTTAACCTATTTAAATATATTTAATTTTTTCTAAAATCAAACTAAACAACGCTTTATTTTTATAACTACTTAATATTAATAACTTTAACACATTTTTTATTTTAACTTAAGCATTACTATTCTTATAAAGTTTTATATAACCCTATAAAAATTAAATGAAGTTAAATAATACTTAACTTTTGAAAAATAACTACTAATTGTTCGCGTTAAAAAGCCGTTATAACTTTTACTTAACGTAAAAGCATTAAATTTTGACGCAATAAAAAGCTTTAAAATGTAATATAAATAATTTGAATGATTAAATCAACCGGCATTCTTTGAAATAAGGCGCTGTAAAAGAATAAAATCCCCGTTCAATTAAATAATTTCTGTATATTCAGCTATAAAGCCTTTTATACCTTATAAAAATGTTATATCGTTATTATTATAAGTTATTTAAACGTTATAAGTACGTTGATTAATAAAATTTAATAACCTATAATCTTTTAAATGCCTTATAAATGTTTTATAATCTATTAGTTAAAAAGCTACTCTTTTAACTAACTCTTTATATATATACCCTAATTTAAATATTTAACTATATTTTAACTTTTATTTAATATAAGAATTCTTAACTAATTATAATTAAAAGCGCTCGTTGTAATTAACTATTAATTTAAAACGTTATAAAACTATTAACCTACCTAATTAAAGGATGTAATTTTTGGTAGCTAATTAAAATAGCGGGGTTAACAGCTAATCAGCCACTTAATTCCGTCGTTAATATCGTCTTATTATACGTGGCTGGTGAGTTAATTTAGCGCTCGTTTTCAATTTGTTAAAGTCACGTAGGTAGGTAATTAGTATATTACCGTCTTGGCCTAATACAATACTAGCACTCGTATTTTCAACACCCTACTTGATATCTCCCTTTCGATCAAACTAGCTTCCAGCAGCCGGTGCAGCGGTCCGCGCCTCTAGGAACACCGGGTTCTTGCGAGAAGAAACCTGACGAGCAACTAGACGGTATCAAGTGTCTTATCTTTTGGGCCCCAATACTGCTGCAGCTACATCGATCTCGAAGCGCTCACTAGCATTCTTCCTCGTCAACCTGCCGCCATGGCTGACCTGACTTCTTCCTCCGTAGGTCACCATCTCTGCAGTCATCTCCGTCGGCCCTCAGTACTCGGCGCTGCGGACTTTGGTCTCGGCATGGAGTACTTCCACACCGTGGTATAAACTGATGAAGTCTCTGCGCGGTCCAGGTATGAATGCAGGCGAGGGCGGGCTGCTTGCGCCAGTCTATTATCCCAAAAAGGAAGAGCTAGCCGTTGCTCTCGCGAATTTGGATGTGGAACTCTCCGTCGCTGCGGCGCCATGCATGCTTGGACTCGTCGTATGGCAGAAGTGCAAGCTCATGGACTCGGTTCCGGAGCTCGGGCAAAAGTGACAGGAAGCTGGTATATGACACTCTAGCTTCCATGACAGGCTTACTTCCACACGACAAGTGTGCAAATCTTGGAGATCTGCTTCTTTTTGGTCGAGCTGAAGAATACATGCTTGATCGTCGACATTGTCGAGCTGTTTCCGGCTCGCCAATGCCAGAACCGGCACCCTTTACTTAGTCCCCGGCCCCGAACGCCGCAGGCGGGAGACAAACTTCTCGTTTTCGATCTCGGCCCTATCGATGCCGAAGCATTCAAGGTAGACCGGGACCATGTCGTGGGGACCGCAGGGGCGGCAGTCACCGCTCGCCCGACGCTTTTCGAAGAAGTTCTGGAGGTTTGAGGTGATGGTTTGTTCGAGAAATGCGTTGTCGTTGTCGCTCACGGTTGCGCTCTTGATAGTGGCGGCTTCGTCGGCCGAGAAGTATGGCGCTGAGATGTAGAGCTCGTCGGTGGTTTGTAGAGTGCGATCCTCGCAAGCCTTGTCTTTGGTCATGTTGCGCAGATCGTAAACCAGGACGCAAATTTTATACCACAGGACCTGGTCGTCTCGTAGCTCTGCTAGCGATTTTGTCGCCTTCGTGTCGGGCGTCGCCATGGCCTCATCCTTGCCCCGGTTCTTGACCTTCGTTTAACCATTTTGTGTATATACCGGGTAGTCTTCCGTGTAGTGTCAGGGTAGTTGCAGGATTCTACAAAATTGGTATAGAAAAATTGGAAGAAATAAATACGAGGCTGTGTGCTGCGGATATTCGAATACCATGGGATACCAGAGGTTAAGCGGGAAGGAGTGGCGTCAATCCTGAGGCAATATTATCATCGGCCTGTGGGAGGCAGTCAAACTCTAAAGCTTCGCCCACTGCACTCTCACGCCATCGTCAAGCAGCCTCACGTGCTGATAACCAAGCGCACCAAAGTCTGGCACGCCTCAAGGGTCTTTCCTCCTTGATGACAAGGAGAGTCTGAGTGACAGCTCCACGAAGATTGCTGATCAGTCAGGGGACGACAGACTCGGCGTGCGCAGCGGCTTCTTTGACGATGCCGTCGATGACGATGATGCGCTGCCTCTGCCTCTGCCTTCCCAAGCGCCACCCACGCCGCCGTCGACTGTCGGTGCGCCGTCTGACTCAGCAGATGAGAGATTCTCCAATCGACCAGAACCACTCCTGGACACCAACGACTCTACTGGCATAGACATCGTGGTCGCTCGTTTTCATCTAGTGGTGAAATGGGTGGTGTCTGAGATGATGCTCACAGATGCGCCGAGTGAGCGCGCACGTTGCATCACCAAATTCATCCACATTGCGACGGACTGCCACCGCTTACGGAACTACGCCCCAATATACCAGATCACGCTGGCATCGCTGTCTGCGGACTCGCGCGATTGCATAAGACACATTTATTAAGGACTAGGCAGTGCATCGCGCCGGTGAGTAAAGGACGGCTATAAGATGGAGGGATGTGTGCTCTGTGAAATGGGCGGCAAAAAGGGGGGGAGAATGCTGGCCAGCTATATTGTTAACGGTCTCGGTAGGGTGTTTCTAGATACGAAACATTGCCACTCTATAGTACTTGCTTGTGCGTTGCGGCTATTGTAGGAATTGGCCCGGCGCGATTAGATGAGCGTGGCAAGTTTGGTAACATGGATCAACAGGTCAATTACATAATGAAGCTGCATAGAAAGCAGTGCGTTGGCGTCTGCCATGTATGACTTGGAAGCTATGCGTGTTCAATGGACGAATGGACGTCGATACGGCGAAGGTCTCCATTCTGTGGTAATGGTGCTATCTCAGTTGGTTTCTATTCATATCACTGCCATTCACTATGACAGACAACTGTGTGCCTTGTGGTAGCGGTATCCAGAATAAGGACCAGGGTCACGATAGGTGGCTATTGGTCTGTATTCTGGAAGTTGCTTGATTGAAAGAAGGGATGGGTGGTGTCCCCATCCCAGAAGTAGCTATCATCCCAGGTGGGTACAAATCAGGTACAGACGGGTACCCGTTGGGCTCCAAGGTACCTTGTATCCTGGTCCGTGACCCATCCGTCATTGTGGCTGGAAAATGGGTTGAGGAGCCACAACTGTACTACGTTAGGTGTATGGAATAGACAGCAAGCTATGGGAACGTTTGTGCAAGCGTATAGCTCCAATGTTTTAAATAAGCCCTCGTTCCAGCGAGGCCTATCTACCTAGGTACTTCCAACAACTGTATAACAGGCTTCCCCCCGGTTGGTAACACCAATAGTCGTTTATTCGTCATCCGTGGGCCTTGAGGCAGTCGGCGAGGCACTGGAAGTATCCTGGATCGCTGGTCTCCCCACATTTATCCTTGACGCAGTCCAAGACGGCCCCTGGCTGTTCGCGCTTGTCCGCTTTGGCGACTTGTTGAGGAGCGGCCAAGGTGGGAAGTGCGAAGAAAGTCACAAGAGGGATAGCGACTTGAAGGAACTTCATTTTGACGGCTGTTGCTTGGTTGATAGTGATGTGTTCTGGGTGCTGGAGTTTGGTGCTGAAGGTATGAGAAGTCGTAGGTAGGTATGTCTGTATGCAATGGAACTTATGGTTGATGAAACTTCTAGACAGTCAAGTCAAACCCGAGACTTCCAAGCCATTTATAATTCAAGACGTCCCGAGATCGACCTATAGTCCATGGCCACTTGATTAAATTTAGAAGTATCTATAAATAGTTCCATATGGCAGGCTGCAGCTTAACGGTAGCCCACGAGGGTTTAAAATGATATTAAAAGACACTTGCCACAACATGCTGACGTAGTTTCTAATTCAATTCGCTATTTTGCCTCGTAGGATTACCGTCGTAGTTGGCGACCTGTAGGGTGTGCTGGGATGAACTAAAAGAAGTTCGGTTGCCCCGGCACCTGGTCGACAAGGGAGATCGCCACGGAGGATCTCCCCACTGTCCAGATCTGGAGGGTGGGCAGCTTATCATTTGTCGTCTTGATCATCAACGGGCCCTATTGGTCCTTGGAACATGGGACCCTGGCACTCGCTCATCCTGGCGGTTTGGTTGCTGGGTGCACAGTCACGACTAAATAAAACGGCCCACCACAACACGTTGTAGTAACCTCAGATACTAGTGAATCAGCGATCGCTGGTCCGCTCCCACAGCTTAATTTGCTGGTCATCACTGATCCACCTCAGGGTACTGTGACTACTGTCGACGGCAACGGAGAAACGAGGGATGAGGAATAGGGAGAAGGCTTGTAATTGAGCGCCGTGCAGTTGATCACCCTTGTAGCCTTCCAAGTTGTGTACTTATCGATGCACGCATGACCGTTGAAATATCGCTGTAGGTGTGACAGGGCTTGGCGCAGCTGACGGTTATCGGCTGACGTCCCGACCGTTGTCTTCCCACTTGAAATGTTGGAAATTTAAAGGTATGACCTTTAAAATTTGGTCAAATAACAGCTAATTATATAGATAAAAAACTTCTTAAAGGTTAAAGTTAAAAGTTTTAACAATGTAGCGCCCAATAAAAGTCGATATAAACGTTTTTTACAAAAAACATCGAAATATAAAAGGCTCGTATATTTTCTTAAAATCCGAAAATATAATAATATCGTTAATAAGTACTTTATAGAGATACTTACAAAGCTTAAACCCCGAATCATAAATTACTAAAGGTGCGTTAAATGGTTATAAAAGTTTATTAAAATAGATATAAATCATCTTAAGCCTTATGAATTAATTATCGCAAGGCGATTATGATACTTTGAATAAAAGCTAAGTAAAAAAAAACAGACAATATTCTACATCATTTTTACTGCGAATAGCAAATATAACTTTACATTAAAAATTAAGAAATTAAAAATATGAAAAAACTAAAAAGGTCAGATTTATAAAAATTAACAATGAAGCGAAACTTTAACATTATATTAAATAGTAAAAACTGTCACGGCGAGCGTACTGAGGAGCTGTGACATGGCCGGCAGCAAGCAGCTATTACTCTATTGATAAGAATATCAAGACTAGAGAGGAAAGGAAGAGAGAGAGAGAGATAGGTACAGTGGGAGGTTGCCCCTTTAAGGGGATCCTCTAGTCAGATTCTTCCCCTATTGGGAAGTATCCACTTGTCATATGGGAAGGTCTGTACAAGCCGTCACAAAAACGAAATAAGTAAAAATAATTAATTCGTAACTTATTTTTATTAAGCTTATATATATAAAGCTTATTAAAAATATCGTTCATAGATTTAAAATCTTTAACTTTATACAAAAACAACTATCTAACTTGTGACTTTACTAGCTTTTTATTAAAAAAACCCTTTACTATTTAATCTTTAGGCATATTAATTAAACCTCGGTTTTTAGGAAGCTTTCAAAAAGGTCGGTTAACTAAAATATATTATATGTTTTCAAATATTATCGTTATAAATATGATAGCCGTTATCGATTACCACTTTTAATAGGTTTTCAAGTTTTTGAATATGAAAAGTAACATAAACCAAAAACTTTTAGATCGAAATGTTCTATTTAAACGTTAACGTTTTAATTATATTAAATATAATATCTACTAATCAAATGTTCAAAAGTTAGAATAACTTATAAATTTTAAATTTAAAAAGCAATATATTAATAGCAACTGTTATCATAGCTAAAATGAAGTTAAATTATTAATTAACTAAAAGGTAACAAGGCATATTAATAAGTTATATACCTTAATTAAAAATGATATATTTATGTTTATTACGATCATAATAAACGCTATGATAGATACGGTTATAACTATAATAAATTTAAAGCAACCGGTTTAAAATATAATATAATAACGATTATTTATACATATTTTATTCGGTTTAAACTTTATACCTTTTCTGATAATTAATAATTTATAACAACCATTTGTTATAACTATAAAACATAATATAACAAACTTTATAAAAATACTAGTTATAACGTTATAAATAGATATAAATAGAAATTACGGTTATTAAGTAAAAACCTTTATAAAATAAATAGAACAACGATTTAATAAATATAAGCTCATGATTCTAACTAAACGTAAAAAAAGTTATAACATTTAAACTAAGTAAAGAAAATGTTAGAGGTTTTATAAGTACTATCAACTTCGTAAAATTGTAAAATTTCGCTATTGAAAAATAAATCAAACTTAATTTCGCTTTTAAACCCGTATTTTACGAGTTTAAATTGTATTATAACTTCGTTACTTTCGTCGTTTTAACTTATTATATAAGTAATAAAACGACATATTTTAAAAGCTTTAAAAGTTTCTTTACTAAATTTTTCGTTTTTTCTTTTAATACGTTTGTAATAAAATATAAAAAGGTATTAAAAAAACCAGATAATTATATATTTACTTAGTTATATTACAATTAGAATGAAAATTGATCTTTAAAGAATTAAGAAAAGTACGAATTATTACCTAAATGTATGTATAGCTTAATAATAAAGTTTTATTTATAAACTTAAAAAAGCGTCTTTCAAGCAAAGAATATCTTAAATACAATTTTGTAAATATTAAAAAGTTAACGTTATCAAGGTTTTAACATTAAGTTATTAAATAAAATAAAGTTATGTTTTTTATACTTAAACGTAAAATCATTTCTTGAAATAAAATAATAATGGATTATAAAAAGTTAATTATCAGGATAATAATTATACACAAGTTTATTAAAAGAATTTGATTAAAAATTTATAACCTTTTCTTTAACTTTAAAAGTAAATTAATATAAATAGGTCTTTTTAGGCCTTATTAATTAAAAGAAATTCGGATAGTATTTATAATGTAATATTGTTGAATCGAATTTATTACACTGTAAAAATAAAAAAGATTCAGTAAGTTTTAATATTTCGAAAAAAATGAAAGCTTTATTTACAGAGTAAATATAATTTTTATGTCGGTTTTTTCTATTGTATTTTATAATACTTATTAAAACGATTAAAACGCGTGCTTTTATCGAATTACTTATTATGATTATAATAATATTTCTTCTTATTTAACTTTTAATTACACGCGTTTCTAATTGAGACGGTTTTATTATTATATACAAAATAGACTAACAACTTAGAAATATTAACTAATAAAAGCTACTTTAAAAATAAGCCTAGTTTGATTAACCTGCTTCACATATATTTTAAAAATACTATTAGAAAAGAAAAGTGTAAAAAACTACTTAATTGTTAAATTTATATTTAATTATATTTGGATTATAACTCTTAATGAACCAATTTCTTTTTTAAAAGTCTTCATAACTTAAACGCATCGAGGTTTTTAATAAATGAATAAACAAATTTTTTTTTTTTTAGACAACGTTTATAAAGATTAAAATAATTATAAAAACTTTCTTTATAATAATAACTCATTCAAAAATAAAACGTTTTGAAAATATAAGTTCGTTATTTCATTATATAATAGTAAATATCTTCAATAATATTTATTTTGAAAAGGACTTATTTAAAAACGTTATTTTCATATTGCTTTTACTAAAAAAAGGTTTTAATGCGTTTATCAAGTATATAAAGGTTAAGAAAAGTAATTGTATTACTTAAAATAATTCTACTTTTATCTTAAAATTCTTAACGTTTAAAATCAAGTTTAAAAAAAAAATTGTTATTTCAAGCACTTTTTTTAATACAGCTTTTTATATATAAACAAAATATTACTTTTCTTATAATATATTAATCAGAAAAAAAGTGAAAAGGTTTAAATAACAATTGTTAAAGTAAAAGCCGTCATAAAATCATCCGACAAAAATAAGAACATATTAAAGCAGCCTTAAAACTTGAGGAAAAAAGCTTAAGCACGATCAAGTATGTTTTAAAAAGCCGCTTAATAAGTAAACTCTTAATTTCTTTCGATTGATTTATCCAAAAGTACGAACAATACTTGTTAAAACGTACTTACGTAAACGGTCTAATTGAAAATCGCTTAAATCTTTATTTTATTAAACGGGTCAACTTATAAAAAAGAAAGAAAAAGAAAAAACCAGTACCTTTTAAATCCGGTTTTCTTAAAATAACGTTATTGTCACGATTCCGTAAATTTATTGCAAGGATATAGGGACCCTTATTAACTATCGACGTATAAGAAACTCTAGTTGAAGGAAAAGAAAGATCTGGAGATGCACTTAAATTGGTGGGCAGCTAGATGTGGGCAGTCGTCACACACCAGACCCACCAGTGTATAGATCAACCTGTCGTCCGATCAGTTACGTGCTCAGTCACATGACCTAGGGACCATAGGGACTACCGCTAGACCTAATGGATGGTGGAACCATCACAGTTATAAATAAACTTATTATATATATAAGATCTTATTATAAAGGTTTATTAATAAGTATTTTAAAAAATAAAATAAAAAAGCGGCAGTTTAATAAATCAAAATTTCATAAAAGGTTGATTGTTTTAATTTACTTGCAAGGATTGAGTTCATGTTAAATATACTATTATTAATATAATTAATCCGTTAGGTAAGCTTTAGGAAGTCCTTAAATATTTTATTTAAAAAATATGTTAATTAACGGTTACGTCTTATATTTAATACTAAATTTAATTTATTAACCTCATATTACTTATAAGCTTATAAGCTGGCTTCTAAAAGGCGCTAAGTTTATTTCCAACGCTTAACGTTTTTAATAATTTCGGTCTTTTTTATTTTAAAAACCGTTTATAAGAAGGTTTAATTATCTTACATTAAGAGAACTTTTTTTTACAAAATTTAACTCTTTTTTTATATTATCGTAATATTCGATATTTTTAAAAAATCACGATAAAAGTTCATAAAAAAAGCCTATTAGTCGTATAATACTTTGAACATTTTTAATTTTACGTTCCCTCTTATCGTCTTAATTATTATTAATAAATAAATTGTTATAGGAATCACTATTTGATTAAAGTTAATACGTAAAATTTATTTTTTTCTAAATAAATCGCGTTATTAAAAAAATTACGTAATTATAATAATAAACGCATATAACAGTTATTAAAAGATTTAAAGCGTTTAATAAATAACGTAACTGACAAGCGAGTTGACATTACAAGCGAGTTGGCACTCGTCATGAACTTTCCAACCAATACGATTCAAACCATCATATCTCCACCAACAACAATGGCACTGCGTTATAACGAATCAGACTTGCAGCTAGCTGTTCAAGCTAAACGACGTGACCCTCATATTTCTATATTTCAGCTTGGAAACTCTTTAACGTCCCTCGTTCCACTTTGAGCAATAAAGTCAAAGGAATGCCATCACGACGCGACAGCATGCCCAATACTTTGAAACTTATGGTTTCCGAAGAGAATGCCATTTGTTCTTTCATTCTCGACCTGGATGCGCGAGCATTTCCGCCCCGGTACAGTTATGTTGAAGATATGGCGAATCAATTGTTGGCGGCGCGTGGGGCTGGACGTGTTGGAAAGAACTGGACGCGGAACTTCATCCAACGTACACCAGGCCTCCGGACGCGTTTTCATCGGAAGATAGACTACCAGAGGGTCTTGAACGAGGATCCAGACGCATATTGCGCGTGGTTTCGCCAAGTTGCAGCAGCAGTCGCGAAACATGGTATCCAAGACGCGGATATTTACAACTTCAACGAGACTGGGTTTATGATGGGCATTATTGGGTCCGGCATGGTCGTTATAAGCGCCGAAAGACGTGGCAGGCCTAGACAAGCCCAGCAAGGCAACAGGGAATGGTCTACAGCAATCTCTGCTGTTAATGCTGATGGTTGGGTGGTCCCGCCGTTCATCATTCTACAGGGCAAAACCCACCTCGCGTCATGGTATCGCGACACGATATTACCACGCGATTGGAAGGTGGCCGTGTCCGACAACGGGTGGACCACAAATGAGATTGATTTGGAATAGATTCAGTATTTCGACAAGTATACCAGACCGCGTATGACTGCCAGTAAACGCCTCCTCATCCTAGATGGTCACGAAAGCCACCATTCCCAGGTTTTTGAGGATTATTGTCAGAACAACGGCATTATCACCCTTTGTATGCCTGCCCACTCGTCACACAGGCTCCAGCCTCTAGATGTCGGCTGTTTTAGCCCGCTCAAACGAGCTTACGGTCGCATGATTGAGGATCTCATCCGGCGTCATATAACCCACGTTTCGAAGGAGGACTTCCTTGCAGCGTTTTGTGAAGCACACAACGCTGCTATGACGCCAGGAAACATTCGAGCAGGTTTCAGTGCCACTGGGCTTGTTCCTTTTGACCCAGAAAGTGTCATTTCAAAGCTGGATGCTGTCGCTGTCATACGAACACCGTCGCCAGACCCCAATCTGCCACCCACTACTTGGACTTCGAAGACGCCTATCACCATTAACAAAGCGGTAAACCAATCAGTTTATATCCGAAACTGAGTCAGAAACCACCAGAGAAGCTCACCTACATCAATAGTTGATGCGTTGAGCTCGTTTTTAAAGGCTATATACGGTCTTATGCATAAGGTCGTTTTGGTTGATTCCCGGGTCCGCGAACTAGAAGAGGCCAATCACTTACTAAGTAAACGCCAGAGAACAAAAAACAAATATCTAGTGAAAAGAGGAATACTTTCTGTTGAAAATGCAGTAGATCTTCAGGCTGCAAAGGATGGTACTGAGCTAGCAAAACAGGAAATGGGTGAAGATAATCGTCATCCGAGGCGGGCGGCAGCGCATGGGCGACGGTGTGGCGTTTGCGGCAATACTGGCCATAATGCGCGAACTTGTACAATAGAGATAGAAACCTCTGAGGAAGAGGAATCCGATTGATTGAATTGAACTGAATGCGTTGTGGTGAAGTTATTTGACATGGCAGTTGGAGAGTTCATGACGAGTGCCAACTCGCTTGTAATGTCAACTCGCTTGTCAGCTACGTTATACTATTTATAATACCTTATTATTAAAACTTTAAAAGTCTAGTTTAAGTAGTATAAAAACATAAAAGTAACTGAGATTAAGTCGTATTTCTGATATATAATAAACTATAATTAAAATACTACTAGTGTATAATGTGTTATATATAACGCGTTAATTTTCCTACTTCATTTGAAACAAATGGGTATATAATATTACAATATGGCGTAAAATAATACTTAACCCATTATACTTATTAAAAATATAAGTTAAGAAGTGCGAAATAAATAAATAAACTTTATTATAAACAACAAGCATTTATAAAAAAAAAAAAAATATTACTTATTAAGTATAAGCTGTTAAAACAGCACGTTAATAAGATCGATTTTGTGACGGTGTACAGCTGCATCCACCTAGTTGAATGTTGAGTCATCAGGTCACGTGTAAATTAGATAAAGAGATTTGGACCATGTGTGCTACAGCCTCGGCTGTACGCATAACTGTTTCTTTTCTCTCTTACCTTGTAATTTTTGGGATACAACCCCAGTATCTAACACACCGCCGCAGGCGTTGTGACAGGTTTAAGATATTTACAACCAAGTAGATCTTTTAAAAAAAACGTACTAATCGCTAGATCTAATATATATATTAAGCCTGCTAGTAACTATAATAAAAATAAAAAAGAAATACTATTATATGAACCGTATATATATAAGTATATATTAATATGCAAATACGGGTTAAAATCTTAAATCACAAAGGTTGAAATAGTATATACTTATAATAACATATGGCTTTACCAGCCCTTTATTAATCTATTTAATTATTATAATAAGTCTTTCTTTTTAGTACTTTTGATAAAATATTTTAATTTTATAAAGGTATGAAAAGGTTATATAACTTTTAATATCTTTCGTTTTACTTACTCTGTTAAATTAACAGTTATTATATTAATAACCTTTTTTTAATAATTATATAAGAAGGTTATATTAAGTTATAATATTTAAAGCTAAAAAAAGTATATATTAAAAAAGCTATTATTATATTTAAGCGTACGTCGGCTACGTTAATACTTGACGCCGTATAAATAGGGTTCTTTGCGTCCTGATAAACGTCGCCAGTTGTAAGGCTATATAATAGCTATTAGGGCATTCTTAAACCAGTTACAGTGTCTACTCTCCATCATCCTTACATACCACCATTAATGCCGCTCGATTAAACCACCCTTCCACCTCACAGCAGTCAATCATCGTCTGTTTGGTGGATCCGATAAGGTATTGAACCCCTCCCCCAGAGGGACAGTACCTAGCCCACTGCACACGGGCCCCGGGGGCTGCATTGTGCGGTCACACCGACACCTAAAAACGTCCCCCCAGGCCCCACCTGCAGTGACCGACGGCAGACCCCCGCCACCTGCAAGACCGCCAACTGGTACCAACTTCCAAGGTCCAGCCTCACAGCCCGCCACCACCAACCCAACAACAACAATACGACTGGGTATGGTCCATGTCAATACGAGGGAGAGAGCATGACTACCTTACCTTATCTTCCAGTTGGCTAGCTCTCGTCTCGTCTCTGCAATTATACAGTAAAGTAAGTGCCTGCGCCGTTGCTTGTTTATTAGGTATATCCCTGCCCTGGAGGTACATCTGGAGCATCGTTCATCGTTCATCGTTCATCGTGTCACCCTTCAATTGACTTTCCTTGCCTCGTGTCGCATCACGAACGAGACACAGCCCGCTTGTCACCTCCGAGCAAACACCCTTCGCTCCCTTACATACGTACACGACATCTGACCAGGAAGAACCCACGAAAGCATAAGGTACCGTCAGCATCCAGCATACAGCATCCAGCATCCAGCATCCATCGCGCGCCAGGTGGATGTCCCATTGTCCCACCACATGTACATTGCAAGTGCAGCCTGCAGCCTGCATACATCTGTACTGCACACAAACCATGGATGGGAGAAATCAGATCGGCCCTACACGTGCAGTAACAGTACCTATTAACTAGCACCCCGACTAATAATACACCATTGGTTTCAGCCCTCGTCCAACTGTCCAAGTGTCCAACTTCCTCGTCTCGCTCCCTGCCGCCTGTCACGCCGCCACTACCGCCGCCGCTAGAATCCTGGCTTAGGTACTGACACGGAACCGCGGCGCGGATAGTATCGCTTTCTTTGTTCTCATTGTACACCTGATCAACCCACCCCCAACGGGTCCCTAACAGCCTGGCTCGCCCTTGGTTCTACATAGCGGTCTTGGGGTCTTGGTCACTGAAACCATGAGTCGCCGCTACTCCTTTGGTTCCGACGCTGGCGAGAACGCCCCCCTCGACAATCCAAGCGCTCCCGCTCCCTACCTGTCTGCCGCTCATTCCAGACCTCCTCCGGCTCCCTCCTCCCATCATTCCTCCCCGACACGAAATCCCGAACCCGAACTTGAACCAGAACCTCGCTACCGAGATCACCCTTTGTCTTCTTCGCTCACGAGAGCTGGAGCACCTACGAAACCTGGCTCACATCCCGACTCGGCCTTCAGCCGACTACGCCAGAAACGGAGGCAGAGTAGAAGTCCCGAGAGAGCCGCTATCGCTGCTGGGGTTGGAGGAGAAGCCTACGCCTTGGCCGACACGTCGTCTTCCCGGCCCAACCCCCCGACTCACCGAGACTCGATTGAACGTGCCTGGGGACACGAGGCGCAACCGAATAGCATCACTCCAGGCGCCGACAACTTTGGCGAGGCTGCTTCGGGTGGAATTCCCGGGCTTGCTATGAGCGTCGCAGAACGAAACGCTCGCGAAAGTGGTATGGACGCCATGAGAGGGCCGCAGCAGTACCAACAACAGCCGCCCTATCCGCAAGCCTACCAGCGGCCACAACCTCAACAAACGGCCTACGACGACGACGACCATGCCTACGGGTACGACCGTGGCTACGGCATGACGCCGGGCTACGGCACCAGCGGGCATAACCCTTACGAACACAGCTACGCCTCGTCGCCCCATCTTGCTCCGCTGGGTGTTGGCGCCGCCTTGTCCCACTCGGGAAGAGGCACGCCGACGAGAAGCGTCAACAGCTACTCAAGCGACCCGTTTCGAGATCCGCATCTGGCATACGGCCAGCGGATGGACCCCAACTATGGCCAATTCAATCCTAATGATATTGAGGACGATGGTGACGACGGCCTCGTATTCCGACGTTCCGCTCGGAATAGTATGCTGAGTCTGGGTAATCGAGGCGGTAACGGCGCCGCCGCCGCTGGGGCTGCGGGCACGGCGGCTGCTGCTGGTTACGACCCAGTCCAGAACCCGGGCGCTGGGGCCTCAGGCGTCGGGGCGGGCGGATACGATCTGGGTGCCCGAGCCGAGAAACCGTCGGAGTGGATATCAAAGCAGAACAACAACAGGAAGAAGTGGAAATGGCTCATCATCATCATCGCATTCCTCATCATTGCCGGCGGTATAGCCGGGGGTGTCGTTGGCGGACTCCTACATCACAGTTCGAGCGACAGCGACGATGGGCAATCAGCTAGTGACGACAATAAGCAGAACGGCGACCTTGATATCAATTCGTCGGAAATCAAGGCCTTGATGAACAACCCCAATCTTCACAAAGTTTTCCCCGGTGTGGACTATACTCCAATCAACGTTCAGTACCCCGACTGTCTCGACAGTCCGCCGTCCCAGAATAACGTCACTCGCGATGTGGCCGTTCTTTCGCAACTGACCAACACGATTCGACTCTACGGGACCGACTGCAACCAGACTGAGATGACCATCCACGCCCTGAAGCAGCTCAAGCTTGAAGACGAAATCAAGATCTGGCTCGGTGTGTGGCAAGATACAAATACCACCACTAACGAACGCCAGCTGAGTCGGATGTGGACCATTCTTGACCAGTACGGCACCACGCCCTTCAAGGGGTTGATCGTGGGTAACGAAATCCTCTTCCGTAAAGACATGAATGCAACCGAACTCGGCAATCTCCTAGACTCAGTGAGAACGAATCTCACCGCCCATGATTGGGCCCTTCCCGTCGCGACGAGTGATCTCGGTGACAACTGGAATTCCGAACTAGCGAGTATCAGCGACTACATCATGGGCAACGTTCATCCTTTTTTTGCTGGCGTTGACGAAAAGGAGGCCGCGGCTTGGACGTGGCAGTTCTGGCAGAACCAGGCGGGTACTTTCTTCAAGACGGAGAGCGAGAGGAATGTGATATCAGAAATTGGCTGGCCCACCAAGGGCGGCACGGACTGCGGTTCCGACACGGTGACTAGTTGTCCGGACGGCTCAGTGGCCGGTATCGATGGGTTAAACACGCTGTTGGAGACCTGGGTCTGTCAAGCTCTCGCGAACGGGACTAATTACTTCTGGTTCGAGATGTTCGACGAGCCCTGGAAAATCAGCTTCGACGAGCCCGGCAAGGAATGGGAAGACCAATGGGGCATCATGGACGTCAACCGGAAGCTAAAAGACGGTGTCACGATCCCCGATTGCGGAGGCAAGACCGTCTAGCATAATGGAGGCCAGTCAACGACCTACCGGGTTGTTCTTCTCCATCATAGGCCTGCCTACCTGGAGGTAGCATCAGCTTACCAAAAAATGTACGATTGGACGCGAGACGAACTGGACGACACATCCATTTGCAATTTGGGGGGTAAGGCGAGCAGCCGATTGTTGTATGGTACCATGTTGTGAGCGATACGGGCATGTTGGCGGCAAGGTTCCAGTTGATCGTGCTGAGCAGGATGGTGAAAACATAGGTATGCTTGCATATATTGAGCATCTTTCCGTACGCCAAGAAGTCGCACACGAGAGGCGAGGCCGCGGAGGCAACCGTGCAGCCTCGTGGGAAGTGTGTTGGCGGAGTATCATTAGTATGCATTGAACAGGACCGGCTACGGTTTACAATAGGGGTTCACGGAGTCTTGCTTAGATACACTGCTCTGCGTTACGAGCTTCATGGTAGATAGCGTGATAGAATTCGGGGCTGCCAGGCGTCGTTCTTTCCATCAGGTGAACGCTCTTAGAGCAGGACTCTCGCAAAAGCATTACCCCGCGAGGTATGGTAATCAAGCATTGGCGTACCCCTAAAGAGGTTGGGTCAATATCAGTATTGGAACCGATTGAGCTCACGTCTCGACTTCTGTGATGTGTTTGTTTGGGTAAATACGGAGAGAGAACGGGCCACCGCATGAATCACCTGTATCTAGGCACGTAGTATCCCTGTTCTAGAACAAGCCTGGATCCCTGACTCACAAAAGAGCGACGTATCTAGTATGTGCCATGGCCCCTATCGGAGAAGCCAAATTTGACGAGCAGTGCCCAGCCACAGCCCAGTCACTAACTCCCACATCACCAGCAATGACTGATAGCGAAAGGGGTTACCAACGCCAATGGTCGGCTCTCTCAGGCCCCCAGTGAAATCTTGGCCGAGATGGTACCGCTTGCCGAACTGAAACACAGTCCGCTATACGAAGACTCCTGAACCTCGCAAGCGAGGACTCCCTCACGGCTGGGCATACGGAGTTCCTGGAGGCTACGCTTGATACCGACGAGGAACAGACAGAGGCAAGAGCAGCAATGTGCCGCATGGTGGGGACTCACGCCACATTCAAGCTTAAGCCCAACCATCAAGAGATCGGAGCAACTGTTCTCAAAATGACTGAAAAGGGGAAGTTAAGCCCAAGTTGGCGTGTCAATATCATGGCATACGTGCCCCTGTCCCGTCCATAAGCTGATGAACAGTTTATTCCAGGAAGCATGAGCCGCCGATCACCGTAGCACGTTCGTCAAGTCCATGACTACCTAATTTTGTGAGTTTCGTCGATGATGACGAGGAGGATGAAAGACGGAGTCAGCTGAATGGCATGGCAGCTTCACAGAGCGAGATACAGGATCTTGTTAGGGAGATCTTCCAGAAGGTTGATGGGTATAACGTTTCGTTTAACGGATTAACATCTCCGCTGTAGGCCAGGGCAGTGCAGTCTCCTTTAGTTACTCCTTCAGTTAATTAGTTTCTTTTCGCTGTGTCGGAATTGATTTCGCTGAGAAATAATACATCTGTGTCAGAATATCCAAGGCCCGCCACACACTTGCCAAAAACAACTATTTTTCTTGGCGCCCCGCTGTTAGGGCGTAGCCTCGATATCTGCGCTAAAATAGGCACTTTTCTCAGTAACTGAGTATCTTTGCCAAGGCACAAGAGATTTTTTTTAATAAGCCGGATGGCACCCTTCCACGACGGGTCCCCAAACACGCCTATGGCCGTCCCAAAGACGACCACTGGCGGCATGCTCAAATCCCCGGCCTCTAGAAAGACATACGGCCCGGCAACTCTGAGCAGGCTCCGCCAGGCACTGCTTGACGACATCAGTAGCAGCCTGTCACAGGTCTCTGAGGCTGACTTCACCGTTGTTTTCCCTCTGAAAGGAAAATTCCGAAATATTAATGACGGCAGCACCACTGGAATGAAACAACCTCAATTAAACAAAATCTCTACAAACCAAGTCATTGAACGCAATACGGGGAGTAAAGCCTCCTCCTCGGAGTGCCAGGACTGAGTTGCAAGGATACTGGATAAAGACAGGCAACTTTACAAAGCCAAGATAATAATATTTCAAGAGTGTGCTACAACAGTAGACAAGACACTTAAGAAAGTCGGAACCGAATTATACTCACATGCCAAGGAGTTCAGCACCTTTTTCTCTAAATGCCTGAGCGAGTGGCTGGAAACCCGAGATTCAACCATAAAGAAGGCCACTTCTGGGGGGATGGTGATGGGGAAGCCCACTATGACTTTCGCACAAGCTGTCTCTTCTAACCACCGACAGCATCCGCTGACAGTCAATACTACTATGAAGAAAACACAGCCTGGCGCCCTTACTGCTGCCAACCAACTGAAGAAGAAACAGAATGATCTCTGGGTCTTTGTCTGCATGAACAATAGCCACTTAGAGCCTTATGGGATAAAGTCTACACTGAACAAAAGACTTAAATTCTATCCTTAGGAGCTTAAAGAGGTAACGTGGTGCCCCTCCGGATATACCTTACACCCAAGGGACAAGCCAACTCAGACTAAGCTCCTGGCCTTCCAAGAAGAGATCACCGACATTCTTAAGGCACAAAAGATCGAAACCCACACAGTCTGGCATCACTACAAGGTTGATAAATGCCCAAGGAAGGTCATCAGTGCGGAAAGGTTTACAATCAACATTATCGACACTGCTATCGCTGATGAGGTTAAAGCCCAAACAGGTGACAGATCTTTAGGGTGCATATTCTTAAGGAACACGGTTAATTCAGATCCAAAGACCACATGGGTGATCTCTCTGCCCCGTGTAGCAAAGAAACCATTCATGCTGAAGCCTCAGTGAATGATGCACTCCAGTGCACTTCAGATCATGAGACATTACGAATAGTCATTCCAATTCATGGAGATCTAGACCAAGTCCCCAAGGCCAATCATTGGATAGTACCGGACAATAAACTACAAGAGCTGGCAGATAATGTCCAAACCAGGATTCATGAACTCCCCCGGCTGGGTGTATCCCCTGGCCAGGTGGATACCTTTACACAAAGCTTGATCAATATGATTTAAGGCTGTATCAGGACAGTGGGCAAGAAGCCCCGTCAATCTAGGCCCACTGCTTGGTGGAATGATGACTGCAAAGCAGCTATTCAGACATACAGGGCCCTTTCTAAACAGACTACAAGCCAAGAAGGGCGGAATCAGCCCAACAGGAATTTCGCCGCGTGGTTCAGAAAGCTAGGAGAGAGTACTGGCAGACTCTAATTGATTCAGCAACTGAGCTAAAGAACCTATACAGAATTGTCTCTTGGCACAAGTTATCAGCAGGGTTGCGTGCCCCCCTAATCATTATAAGAGACCAAATATTTGAGTCACAAGAGAACAAGGCAAATGCACTACACTCAGCCACGCTTGAATAAAGTACCCCAGACAATGATATCATCGACCCCTGGTCCGCTCAGATCACACAACCCAAGCCACACATCCCCTTTGAATACTATGTCAGACTAGAAAAGGCTGAAGGGTGCATTATAGGGACCAAGAGCAACTCCCCGTGAGTAGACACCCTCACAGTACGGATTCTGAAAGCTTGCTAGCCAGTAATTAGGGAACATATCAGAGCCCTTTTCCAGACCTGTCTATAGGTTGGACACCACCCTAAACCATTCAAAGTAGCTGAGGTGGTGATGATCCCAAAACCAGGAAAGAAAGACTACTCCAATTCCAGGGCCTACAGACCAATATCGCTATTATCGTGTCTTGGCAAAGGCCTAGAACGACTCATCGCAAAAAGAATTTCCTGGTTTGTTGTCAAACTTGGAATTCTAGCTCCACAACATTTTGGAGCTCTACCAAAGCGCTCTGTCACTGACCTGGTAGCTGCACTAATACACGATATTGAGCAGGCCCTTGACCAAGGCCTTGTTGCAACAGTAGTCACGTCAGATGTGAAAAGGGCCTTTGATGCTGCCCTAATAGGACGACTGGTGGTTCGTATGAGAGAACAGGGCTGGCTGGGCTTTCTAATAAGATGGGTCCAGTCATTCATGTCCAAGCGGTCCGCAAGGGTTTGGTTTAAAGGTATTGTGACCGATATTAAAGCTCTCATTTGTGGGCTATCACAAGGCTCACCAGCCTCTCCAATCCTTTACATGCTGTATACAGAGCCAATCTGTGCCCGACTTGGTATAAAAAAGAGACGCTTTGGATATGTACACGACCTAGCGACTCTCTGTATTAGAAAGAACCTTAAGGAAACAGCTATAGAGGCTTCTGAAAATCTTTATTTGCTCAGTCAATAAGGACATAACAATACCATTGAATTTGACCCTGACAAAACTGAGATCATGCACTTCTTAAGGAAAAAGAACTCAGACAACCCTCCAGTCCGCCACGGGATAATGGACAAAATAGCAAAGGACTCTATGCGATGGCTGGGTGTCTTCCTGGATAGAAAACTAAACTTCAAAGATCACGTTTCTTACTGGGCCAAGAAAGCTAATAAGGTAGCAAATCACCTTCGAGGACTATGCAACACAGTCAAAGGATTTCCAGTAAAATCAATCAAGAGGGCTGTGAAAGCTTGTGTTATTCCTAGTCTTACACACGGCCTGAAGGCCTGGTATCTAGGAATCAAAAAAATTGGTACCTTAGACGGGACATCAGCGTGTCGCATTAAGGGACTTCTTTGAACAATAGATGTCGTACTACGAACAACGATCAGGGCTATCTTCCCAGTCTGGAAAACACACCCTGGACATATCCTATACTTTGGATCGCAGATTCCCCCAGCAGGAGTTCTTGCAGAGTTAATAAGACGACATCACGACCTCCAACTAGGACGAATAGACCAGAGACACCCTCTTATTGGCAGGCTCCAAATACAAGCTCGCAAAGAACCAACAAGGCTACAAAGGAGCTTTCAGCTAGTCTCTGACTTCCAAAGACCAATACTCACGAAGCCATTATGGAAGAAGCCCCCGAT